GATACAATATTAACCACATTAAAATAAGCATAGACTTCAACATAAATAACTCTTCACACTGTCGAGAAAAATCCTATTGGTAGGTTAATAAGATTTTTATACCAATATACTTATCTTCTCAGAAGTGCCACTATCTGCGTACTCATCATTTGATATAATATGATCATAATATTTCACCTATAAAATAGGGTACCTGTGGTATAATTTGAATAAGTTTTTCAGAACGTTCAAAATCTATACTATGCGAGTTTTTTATCAAATTAACCGCTTTTTCTATAACGCCTCTTAGTTCGTCTTTACTAATCCAAGGATTTTCTTCTAACCTTTGGTAAATAACAAAGCCTGCCATTAAATATTCAGTCTTTACGTTAATTAAATATTCTATAGTTTTTATATAAATATTCTGAAGACATAATGATAAAGGTAGTCAAAATATAATGTTAGAAGCCTGCTAAGCGAAATAAAAATAATGTAAATTTCAATACCTTTTCGCCATACTGCCTTTTTAAATATATTTGTAATTTTTCCATTTACGTCTTCTCTGAATCTGAGTTTATGTTGAGGTCAAAGTGGAAGAATATGCGAGGCAGTTTATGCCAAAAGTTTATGTTTAAAGATAAGAGCATGCGGAATGTGTATTAAAGATCTTGATATTTAGAAAGGCGTTGGAGATGATGCATATATCTTCTTTTTAATTTCACTTGCTCGACCGTCTAGTAATAAAGGCCTAGTAGCATTATACAAATACACTCTGGTCAAAATCTAGTAGAAATAGACTCTAGCATTGGAGGAAATAAACTCATAAATAAATGCTATTCAGATAGGGAAAAAATTTAAAATATTTTTGGGAATCGACTTCTTATGTGTGAAATTATTTTGTTGCATAAGTATAGTTTCACAGATAATTTGCAGATGATTTACGATGTATCACCTATTACATCATATATATTTTAATAAGAATTAAAAACATATTAATTTATGTCACACACGCCTATATGTATTATTTTATTAAGAAAATATTCAGAATCTGGGTCAAGGACTGATTCAGAAAGAAAATTTGGCAGATAATACATTTTATGCATAGTGCCTTTGACCAATTTTACTAGATGATCATGCATGCAGATTATATAGCTATCATTTCACAAAAAAATAAAGTATAAGCTATGTTTGGCTAAATATAATTAAGATACATAATGCTAATATTCAGTTGAAAGATATTAAGTCTATTTTCTTCTTACATTCATACAGAATTGAAATATACTTTAGCAAGGTTACCCAAAGTAGTCTTGCTAGAAATATTAGGCATATTTCATCGATCGTTCCAAAGATTTCTAACTTCAGATACACTTGCACTATGTTACATTAATGCAACAGGCTTTCATGGTAATGGGGGAGGAGTTGGCCCATTTAGTGTTTCAGATTTTTGGTTAAACACATGATGAGAAATTGGCAAAACCATTTCTTGTCTGGTAGGTGAAATACAAGCTGGCTCAAAATTAAAAGCATTTAGCATAGTATTTTTTGTTACAATTGCTTTAAATTGTACATAATTTTCATAGCTAGCTATGAAATTCGCATTATGATCATATGATACTGATGCCAACTTATTCTTTTCTGAGTGTGAAATAGATTGGAAAAAAGCTCTAGACGAAAATGATTAATTTTAACCTCTTCTTTTAATATGTATTATTTATATTATCAGATCTGAAATTCCCTTTTATCAATAGATTGAAGAATTTCTTTTTTTCTCGCATGATCATTCGAAATAGTATTTCCAAAAATACATCTCTTCTAGTGGCTATCATGATAAATACGAAGGTTATAGCCAATTTCAGGTATGAAAACTAAGGATTCACATACACTACAATAAATATAATCAGTTGGATAACCATTGTGGACCTTATCATTTTCATAAAGCTTTTCATACATTATAATATATCCATTCTTAGAAAGGATTCTTGGATTCTCTTCAAGTATTTTTCTAAATGGATCATAGATATGAGAGCATCACATTTTTGGTATTTCGTGATTATGTCTTTTTGTTAAAGGTAATATTGCATCAAGTATTCTTATATATTCTTCAGAACCTCCATAAGTATTGTTTGTATCAATTAGCTTAAAATAGGTTTTACTATCTAAATCCATAATAGTGTTTTAGTAGATTATAACAGATTATAACGATTTTATCAATTTATAATGATTTATAACAATTTGTAACAACTATATTATAATAAAATATCAGATTCATTTTTATTTGATTACAAGTATATCAGGATTTATATAGGGTCATATCTCAGGCTAAGCTAATTTTATATTTACATGCAGTTTGTGGATCTCTCATGATTAACAAGGATTAGCTAAAGACGCTTTGCATGATGTATAATATAAAAATTTGTATCATCCTGGCTTCCAGTCAGTTCCTGACACTTCCTTTATCATCCAAAATCTTGCGAGATATAGCTTGATCCAATATTAAAAAAGACTAACCCCCTGTGATAAAGCAATCAGTTAAAAACACTAAGCCTAAAAATGTATCAGATGTGTGAGGCAATTTAGCCGAAATAAAGTTCAGGTCTAATTTAGCCGATACATGTTGATCGAACTGTGCAGAATTATAACTAATATATATATAATTACATTTGTGCGATTTCTGATATTTTGGCTAGATTGCATGTAATGTAAATTGAAATCATATGATTCAGTTCTAAATATATTTTTTATTAAAATTATTTTGTAAAATTTATCATAGTAAAGAAATTATTTTTTGTATTTTTTGATATAATAAAAATAAAAATTTCACGGAGTTGCATAGGAGAACGCACTCTAAATATCATATAGTTGCATTAGGCAATTAGTCCGATATATTAGAATACTTGCAGTCAGACCCAAAGCCTGTCTTGAAAGATAATGACTGCTCCTATTCTTTGGCTCCACTAATTTTCATCACCATCATTATCGCTACTGCTATTATTGCTACTAGAATCCCTCCTCCCTTCTCTTTCAACCTATTCTTGGATTTTATCCAAGGAAGTAGTCCTCAGAGTTTTTTGATGGCGGTAAAAACTTGCCAAAGTCGCCAAGCTTATATGAATTTCTTGAGAAATTACATTATATAATTATGTATGGGAGCGTCCCTCCCTTCTTCTTCTTCGATTAAATAGGATTGTGAATTCCACCCATAAAGTTTGGACTTTATTAGGATATTCCAAATATTGACTGGTAGATACATGACTGGAAGAGAATCAAGACGAACCTAATGATAGATAATAAAAAGTTAGTACCTCTTTACCTTTGAGAATATATTAGTGTTGTTAATTAACTTAGTTTCGTCATGCCTGGCTGGGTCTTGTGAGGCATAGCTAATCTTTCAAGGCCATGATTCCACGCTAATTAACAACACTAGAATATATGCAAAAAAGATAACTGGAAGATAAATGTTTCTTACCTTATGATACATGGTCCCATTCTGCCTCTTCTTTCATTTTTTGAATTTCATTATTTAATGCCAATACTATTTTTTCAAGTTTGGCGATTTTGCGTTTTTTCTGGAGCCGATGATAGGTATTTACATAATAAGAATGCTCCTGCAAGAAATATATATGTTATACCATTTCCTGAAAAAATGGCTAGGAGTATCTCCATTGTTAAAACACTCTAGAGAAGCATCTCATATATTGCGACGAAAGCAACGAAAATGAGGAATAAGATGGCGTCGAAGGTGAATGAAATCATTTTTTTTATTAGAGGGTTTAATTTAAGGATTAATTGAATTATGCGTAAAATGAATATATTACTTTTTTTATTTGTTTCTCTTACCAGACGCCTCCGATATATCCAGTATTTTTATAATTACAATTCCTCCGCAGTTAAGAGCTACGATCATCACAAAACATGAAAGTTCCTGGATCTTCGCTGGAAAATCCTATACTCATTAATCTGCGGATCCAGATTTCCTAAATTACCCTGTATTAGAATGCATATACGCTCGAGCAATAAAAAATTAGTATGCTGATTCCAGAGGAATTCCTCTATTCGTCCGCCCATATGATAAAAAAATATTTGACTACATTGTTCGGGTTACTTAGTATCCTAAACATTTTTTTTTATTTGTAATACATTGAGCCTGATTCTAGCCAAAGGCGCGAAAGCAAAGGGATCACTAAAAATAAATTTTATGATGTGGGACTTTGCACAGGATACATGACGAAGTTTCTATGCTAAATAAGACTACCTCTAGTCATAAAGATCACCCATGTATTTCTCCGGGAACTTAAAGAACTGTGTGAAAAAAATACCTCTGGTAACGTCGCACAGTCCCTATTTTCGGCAAGAATTTTACCGGTATATTTCAGGTGATCGGTCCACATGACGAAGTCTATGCTTTTACAGAATTCCACCATCCCAAAATTCAAGGTAATAATATTCACCAGCACCCCATTCACTCTTTATATCCTTCTTTATATTTTCGCCTTTGTGGTCTTTATTACATATGGGACAAGGTACTTAACTATTAAACACAAATCTATCATCATAACTCTCACTATACTTAAGGATAGATAAGGAAATTGCTCCAGCACCCAATTATATGTTTTTGTTTTTCTTCTGGACCATCAGATAAAATAGAGATAGGAAGTCGGGATTTGTTAGATTTATTTACCTGATTAGAAGAAGTTGTGGATGATGTACTCACCTTAGCTTTGGGCGAACTGACTGGACCGATTTTAGGGGAATCACCTGAAGAATTAGAGACAACGAGTTAATGGAATAGGTGTCAGTTGAAATGTTACCTCAGCTGGTATGGACAAGATTCTTTCGGGACGGAAATTTCGGTCACATGATTTGTTACGCTAGCGCTAGCGTTAGCGTGACTGTGGCACAGTATCAAAAAAAGTTCTGGAAAATTCGCAATTTCCGGTTATAAAAGTGCTTTTATTATTTTTCCATTTGTTCTGCGTTTTCTCGTGTTTTTATTTTCGAATAATTTTATTTTTTCATTTTCAATGAGTGTCGCAACAGAAGGTGTAGAAGAAACGTTATTTGAAGGGACTCGAGAAACAAGGCAAACCACTAAAATTACTCAGGTAAGTTATGTTAATACTGTTTAAGAAAAAGAACAAGGAGTATTGCTAACGAGTAACGACTACAATAGATCTGCGCAAAAATTGATCAATTGCTGGAGCAAGCGCAAAAAGATGATGTCGTCGAGATCAACCTTCCTGATGAACTAGGTATGAACAATGCTGGTGCACGTGTACTCGAAGCGATACATTCGATATATTCCGCTGACAGAATCGGAAATGATTTATTTATTAAGGTAAGTAATTATAAACTACACACCTATATATATCATTTATTGATCTTAGAAATTTTGTGTTAATAATTTAGTATGATGGGCTTAATAAAGAAAGGATTCATTACAAACTAGTAAACTCAGCTGAAACAATGTGGTATTCAGCAAGTAATGGAATATGTGTTGTTGGAGGTGCAGAACGTCGACCTGACGTTGGTGTTTGGTTTACAAGACCAACACAGGCGCAACGCACACATCCGATTATTAATCAATGTCCGCCTCCGGCTGTGTGGATTGAGGTAATTGTATTAAATCTCCATTAAGGAAAATGTAAATGGCTTGACTAATCTGATCTGAATCCTTGCAGGTGTTTTTTGATAAAGATCCGGATCGGAGTAACGCATTTAATAGAATCAATTATTGTCAGCAATACTGGAATAGCATCGAATACGTTGGAATTGCTATACCTGAAACCATTCATCAGAACCCAAACCCTTGGCAAGCTTCGACTGCTGTAGTTCGACAAAACAACAGACCCAACCAATCCCCATATGTCATTCATTGGGACAGAAATAATAACCCAATGTATTTTAAGTATAGCTGGAATAATCATCTTGTACTTAGGTGTCATTGGAGACTTAATTTTAATCTTGTACTTAACGAAATTCTTTAATGATAGATACTCTCAAACATGTTGCATATTAGTACTTTTTTCGATTTTTTTTCCTGTTTTTAACTTGCTACAATTACATAGTAATTTACCAAAGAGCAAAAGGCTGAAATTAATTATTAAAATAGTAGTATTATATTAATTAATATAATAATGATAGGCGATAAATAGAAATAATAAAAATCATGTGCTACAAGATTTATTTGACAAGCTAAAAAATAAGTCCATACATATTCTTTCGGCAAGAATTTTACCGATATAGTACTGCGCATTTCAGGTGATCAATTTAGCAAATGCTGGTCGCCTTTTTGAAAACATAATTTTATTATTTATCATATAAGCCACATGCAATTACGAATTCAGGTACTAGCCACATGATGTTAGGTCGTTGTATTAGCCACGTAAAGATTAATCAAGATTAAGACGTGATTCGTCAGAGATCGGCACTAATCATGTGATAAACATATAATAAATTTGGGGATAAGAATTATAATAAAGAGCGCGTTTACATCTCTTACTGTTTCCACCCAACCACTAAAACCAAATGGTTTTTTTATTTTGTTGATGAAAGTTAATAAATAAGTTTAATTTGTGTTGCAAAATTTCCATTTTTTTCTATTTTGAAGTCAAAGAAAAAATCAAACTATACCTCCTCTTTCTTTTTTTTTCTAATTGATTCAATAAATACCATAATTCACCTTTTAATCTTTATAAAATGGTTAAAAATTCTCGTCAATTATCCGTATTTCTTGAAAATACTGGTTTACTTGTACAAGAACTTCATTATGGGTCATATTCTCGCTTTTGGTGGGACTTCTCAAATGAAAATAACATTGCAAATTTTTCAATTCGTTTTGGATAGCAAGTTAAAGTTTCTCTTAATGGACATGACTTCTTTTTGACAGTTAGAAAAGGAACAGGAAGCCTAACTCTTCCAGAATATTATTGTAAAAGTGGTCAAATTGAAGTAACTAAAACTAGTCTGACAAAAGTAATTTCAACAGCATATGCAAGTATATTCAAGAATTTTACATGATATTCTGGTTATAGAATTATGGGTTGGAATAATGAAAACATTTTAGAAACACTAAAAAATGATGTTGAGTTTTTTCCAGTAATGTGTTTAACTGAAAAATATAAAATTTTTTTATATGCTATTAGTTGTTCTTTAAATGAAAAATGGTGATATGCGGGATCAGATTTTCAATCTTCAATTGTTCATACATTTGAAAAAGAACAGTGAATTTTTGTATTATAAATTGAAAACAATAAGTGTATTGTGAAAATTTATCAAAATTTTCAATTAAAAAAAAAGATTTATTGGCGTTAGTCCAGATGATGTTTGGAAAAAAGTAGAACAAATTCAAAAATATAACAGAACTCAGCTTTTTGGTTTAGATAATCCGATAATCTAACAGCTAATACAAGAGCATTGGGTTCCTATTTGTAAACCTGAAGATTAGCAGAATAAATCAATTATGCAATCAGTTTTTGATTATCACCTAAAAAAAAGAATATTGACGAATGTTAATTGGCATCAATTTTTTATTAGCTGGGCTGAATCAAATATTACAATAATTGAATTAGAGTCTAATTTGAAAAAAATATACCCACAAAAATATAATTTTAGTAATCGTGAATTTAGAGCATGGAAAATCATGTTAAGAGCATCTGAATGCACAAATGTAACTTTGTGATTATGTGATAAATCAGAGATAATATTTGTACTGTATCCTTTATATTCTATATAATCAATTATTCAATATAAATATAAATATCAGATTGAATTATGAACAAAGTCGCCTAATCCAATTATTGAACAAGAAACATTAGCAAGTTTACTTAAAGCAGGATTACTTACCCCACTCCAATCCATATACCCAATGCAACTCGTACTTTTTGGTCTTGTTTTAATCGAGCTTTATCAAATAATAAAAAAATGTACAATAGTAAACGTCAAATATTATCTATAATTGCTGAAGATTTCACTTATGATGAATTACAAACAAATTTGGGTGTAAGAATTATTTATTTTGATCCTTATTACATATAACTGCAATACCAATTAATCAATCTATTTTGTATATAATTTTAATATTACAGGTTGGAAGACATACAATTTCAGAATCACGTAAGCATGCATAAACTAATGGATATGATGCTTCAGTATTAGAAAAACTTGTTATTCATCGAAAAAGATTTACTGCAAAAATGTTAGATCAGTTTGAACAATTTTTTTCTAATAAAGAAATTGTGAATATGAGTTCATATAAAACAGATACCTCTACTGGATTGCTACTTTTATATTTGCAAGATCACAAAAAGACATTATGGGAATGATTTTCAGAACAGTATCCTAATGGTATGCGAAGAACTTCTTTTATGACTAAATTAAAAGGTGAACGATTTGTATATCAGGATAATCTTGGTAGATTATGTTCAACATGTAATGATAATAGTTATTTAGTATTTGGTGATATTAATATACTAATTGCAGTATATATAACTGATGAATTAGTACAGGTAAGTAAATAAATCAAAAAATTCAATTTTTTAATTTTTTAAAATTCAAATTTTTCTAATAATAAATTACAATTATAGAAATAATTATTAGGAAAATCACAAGACTTACGGCATTATATCCGTCGTTAATATTGCAAATCACTTACTATTACAATGGATGGTATTAGTTTGCACAATAAATGCATTAGTCACTGTATTTGCTATGCATTTAGAGATTATAATCTTGATCATCCCGATACCTGTGATAATTGTGAAAGTTTATTTAGTTTTTTTGATCAATTAAAAGATCAATTAGGATTAGAATTTAATGATATGCTTGATAATTATCAAATAAAACTTATATCATAGATGGCTCATCACACATGTAAAACTTATCTTAATATTCACGTAAGAACAAATCTTAAAGAACTTGATGCTGAAGATGCCGTAATAATAGTAGATTATAAAATGAAAATTTTATCTACAAGTGCAAAGGAGACAAAAAGAGATTTTTTTGGAAAACGCGATTGGAGCTTACATTCAGTTTTGGTTTATACAAAGAATATAGAAAATAATTGTTTAAATATTTAAGTATATGATCATTGGTCAGGTGATACGTGTCAGGATGCATGGTTTACTGCTTCCTCTTTGCATACTATTTTTGAAACTCTTCAACCAAAACCTAAATGGGTAACAATTTTATCAGACAATGGAATGCATTATCATTGTATGGAATGATGCTTATTATAGATTACTGAAAAGAGTGATACAATATTATTCTGCGACAATGGCTGTTTTTGAAAGCAGGTGAAGTAAAAACAGCAATAGACTCTCATCATGCACAGGTATACATTACTTTTTCGATAAATCTAAAAAGTATTACTAAAATAATTTATAATTTAGATATCACAAGCAATAAAATAGTATATAAAACTAGGTTTTGAAGTGAAAAATAGTGATAATATTGAAAATGCTATCAAGGATATTGCAGATATACATGTGGCTAACTTAAATCCAAATAGAAATACAGGTATTTTTAATTTCTAATAATAAATATTACACTAACTAAATAATACTAATAAATATATTTCATAATTAGATAAAGAAAAACTAGATACTATAACAAGAATTTCAAATTTTTAAAAATGGATCTGGTCTCAAAGTGAAGAAAAAAGTGAATATATTTATGCTCGTGCTTTGTCAGGTATTGGTACTTGGAAAGAGTATTCACCTGGAAAAATAAAGAAAATAATGAAGAAAAAAAATTTGAAAAATCTCATCCAAATTATACTCAACATACAAAGCTAAGTAAACATCAGATTATGCCAATTGTAGATAAATCCAGTAAATTTGTATTACTTTTGATTATTATTATTTAAATTACTAATTTATAAATAAGTAATAGTGTTTATAGCACCAGCAATTTCATCTAATATCAATAATGGCGTTATTAGAATTAGGTAATAATTGATATAACAAACCAGATGAACCAAATGGAAATCAATAACGAACCTGCACAATATAATTCACAAAGGTATAGTATTATTATTTTGTGTCAAAGTATTATAAAAGGATTTTATTGACAAAAAAAAATTGTTTTATAATCACAAGTTTTTTTTTTCTGGTTGGACTTTAAAAGAAAATAAAAAACCTGAATACGAGAATCAGTAAAAAGAATGACTGCAGAAGTTAAATATTTATTGAAAATAATGTTTCACACAGGAACAGCCAATCCTCGTCAAAAAATGAGTGTACAACAAATGCATGAGGAATTGTTACAGTGAGTACAAGAAGATGAATTATGTGAAGAAAATGTACCTAAAGTTTTAACTATTCAAAATTGGATTTTGGGTTTTTCAAGGAGGTGGAAAGAAGCAATAGCACTTCGTTCTATAGACGAAAATAGTGAATAAATATAATATTTATAAAAATAAATATAAAATATATTCAAAATAAATATAAAATAAATATCCAAATTATAAAATAAATATGAAATAAATATTCAAAATTATAAATTTTATACATATTTGAACATAAAAATAAATATATATATGTATGACATTTACCGTAAATCTGCTGTTGCTCTAAAGTAAAAAAATTTTTAACGAAGTCGACATATATTTTTTTTTTAAAAAAAACGGTTTTTTTGACATTTTATATATATAACAACATGGTTTGAATAGTCTGTGTTCAGTGTTGATCATTCTAACCTTATTTGAATTCTTGTAATTTGAAGATGCATTATAATTGATTGGCAAAATTTGCCCAAATATATTAATTTAGTGCTGATCTCTGGCGGATTGCATCTTAAAGTGTTTTCAATCAATACATTCTTTAAATTTATATATCTTTGAGAAATTGTGATTTTTGGATTCTCATCATACCATACTTCAAAAAGATAAATTCCATTAAGCTGATATAGGATTCTTTTTTTCTGATCATGATCAATAATATCTTTGAGTTTTTTGACATCTTTATACCAGCTAGTATTATGAAGCTAATGTTGTGCACCTTGCATTTCTAATGCCATTCGATGATGTCGGAAGAAAACATCAAGTTCTAATCTCTCATAAAAGATGGTCGATATTCAATTATGGGTTCCTCTCCAAGTAATACTTGAGTAATTAGAATACATTTCTCCTGAAATTTATGATTTTTCTTTGATTCCAATTCTTTTTTAAGTTCATCTATATCTTGTACCAATTTCACAACTCTTGCTTTAAGTTCAGCGTTCTCAGCAACAGTATTTGTCTTATTTTTCTCTAACTCTTCGATTCTGATCTTAAACTCAGCTTTTTCAGTATCATGCCTGGTATACTCCTCCTTAATCTACTTTAGAAGCT